CGATTAAATTGGCAGACGGGAAAAAGACCTAATATCGGTACTGCCAAATATACTGGGACAAAACATCAAAGAATAAATCATCTTTCCCAAGATGAGTCCGAACGCTCTTAAGACCACCACCATGTTGCGGGGACCGAAGCAGACGATGTTAAAATTTATGCTCAGGACGAATTCGATCAGATTAATTTTTAGGTGCAGTTTTCTGCTACCATTTGTAGAAAGATAAGTGGTATCAAACTTTTAGATACGGGTGCTTCGAAGAAATATATTAAACCTATAAAAGGTTGCAAATACATAGTTCCAGTAAGCAACCCATTTGTGGTGAAGTCAATTCACGGCTTCACATCAATTAAAGAAAGGTTCACAGTGAATATTTTCAACACCAATAGTTCTTTTTATTCCCTCCACCATAGTATGGAGGGTATATTAAGTTTGTCATTCCGTTTGTAACGATTCGAAATATACATTTGAGACGCCACAAAGTATATATATCCTCGATCAGCATAAAATTCTATGTCGATTTAGCGATGTCCGTCCGTCTGTGGAAATCACTCTAGCTTCCGAACGAATTGAAGTAGATTGATTAATTTTTACTCAAATGCATATTATGTCTGCAGAACTTTTGGTATGAAAATGGGCCATGTAGGTCCACGTTTTGGTATAGTCCCCATATAACGTTACCTCCCGATATTCGGTATTTTGATGATTTTAGCGACAACATTCATCGGAATTGTTTCAAATTTGGTATTTGATGATCGTAATGGATTCTACAGCCTATGGCAGGAAATTGTCTGTGAAGGCCCACGTCTTCATATAGCCCCTATATAACGGTACCCCCCGATATTCGGTATTTTGATGATTTTAGCAACATTATTATTTTTTCAAGTTACGCATTTGAATATTGTAATGGCTTATTACAAATATTATTAATATAACGGCTAAATTCGGTATATGTACGATGTTAACAGAATTTTTAACGGATTTTTTTTTTTTGAAAAATTGTCAAATTCGTTCCAAATGGTGGTGGTTATTCAAAGTTCGGCCCGACCGAACTTACAGCTTTTTTAATTGTTTTATCTTACCTGCACTCTCAACGTTTGACGGTATCATTGGCCTTGATCTGATACACAGACAAGTGCAACATTGAGCTTCGAGAGAAGGGAACTGAAAAGTATAGCTGGCATCGAAAAGATCCAATTTTTAAAATGCGTAAATGTAAATTTTACACATAAAGGTGCCCAATCTATCGCAGGAAAATTTAGGGAAATGATAAGAAAATTTTTGTGCGTTTTTGCAAATCCAAAAAAATCACTCCCATACAATATGAATATTGCACCTACTTTTCGCACTAATAGTAGTGTTCCCATCTACTCAATACTATACCGATATCCCATGGGTTTAGGTGCCTTCTTTAACAAAAATGTAAAATGCCATTCCAGATCACCCTATAACAATCCCGTTTGTGTTGCTGATAAAAAGGGAAAAGATATAGAATACGGCAACACTAAAAGACGGTTAGTGACAGATTTTATGAAATTAAACGGGGTCACTGTCGATGACAAATACCCAATACAAGAAATAACCGTTATTCTCTCAAATTTTGGGTAAATCGGGTTTTTTACTCGCTTGATCTTAAGTCAGGCTTTCACCAAATATCACTATCTGAACAAGATCTGGATAAAACGGCATTAAAGATTGAATGGGTATTGGACAAATTATATGCTGCCAATATGAGAATTTCCCGGGAGAAATCACATTTTTTCCAAAAAAGCGTTGAATATCTTTTCTTTATAGTTTCAATAAATGGCATAAAAATGAATCCAGAAAAGGTAGAGGCCGTCCTCAAATATGAAAAACCTGCAAACTCTTTAATGTAAGGTCGTTTCTGGGATTGGGAAAATGTTTTATTTAATATTTTGCGTCTACTGCTAACCACTAACCGATATTCTAAAGGGCGAAAACGGCAAAAATTAGTGGTTCCCGAAAAGAATAAAAATAAATCTTAATACAGAGCAACTCCAGACGTTTGAAAAACTTAGGAAAATTCTTACATCAGAAATGTGATTTTACAATACCCATATTACAAAAAAAAAACGTTTGATTTGACAACGGACGCCTCGTCTGGTGGTTTAGGTGCAGTCTTGTTCCTAGACAGAAAACCAATAAGTTATGATTTCAAGAGCCTTAAAAAATAGAGAATTAAATTTCGTAACAAATGGAAGGGAACTACTGGCCATAGTATGGGCCTTAAAGAATCTCAGGAACTATATATACGGCGTGAATATTTTTGAATATTTTTACGAACTACCAGCCTCTGACATTTTCCGTTTCGGATAGCAATCCGAATGCCAAAATTAAACGCTGGAAAACGTTCATCGACGAGCACAATGCAAAAATCCTTTACAAACCTGGGAAGGAGAATTATGTAGATGATGCCCTGTCCCGACAACACATTCACGCTTTAGAAGAATACGTACAGTCGGATATTGCTACAGTGCATAGCGAGTTGTCGCTTACATACACAATCGAAAAGACAGACAACCAGTAAATTGTTTTCGGAATTAAAGAAGAATAGAAGTAAGCGAAAGTAATTCGGAAAGAACAGCCAGTATATTTGGTAAGAACACTCGACATTTCTTGTATTTCTCAGATAGAAAAAGACTTTTCCAAAGAATATTCGATGTAGTTTAAAGTGATATGGTAAATGCAATTTTTTGTGATATAAAAGTACGGGCATTCATTCAACACAGATTAGTGGAAACATTCCCGTTAACTACATTTTGTTACACTGACCACATGGTAACTGACATATTTGACAAAAACGAACAAGAAGAAATTACTGTCGCGGAACACAATTGGGCATATAGAGCCGCCCAGCAAAATGTAAAACAAACTCTGCAGGACTATTTTTCCCAAAAATGAAGACGATAGTTAACGAGGTGGTTTCAAACTATAAAATCTGTCAAAAAACAAAATATGATAGACACCAAGAGTCAAATTTTTGGAGAAACATCTATTCCTTCATATACTGGGGAAATTTTACATATTGACATTCTCACAACTGACAAGAAATACTTTCTCACTTCAATAAATTCTTAAAATTAGCAATTGTCCAATTAATCGCTTCCAGAACAATAATATACGTTAAATACGCCATTTTACAGCTTATGAACTATTACCCGAGGACAAAAACAATATATTGTGACAACGAACCATTTATTAATGCTGAAACAAACAACATAATCGATTTAAGGTAGAAATCTCCAATGCACTACCCCTTCATGCTGGCTCAAATGGGCAGGTAGAGAGATTTCACAACACCTTGGTGGAAATAGCACCATGTCTGAAGATAGAAAGAAACATTGAAGATACAGCCGAATTAATATGTCAAATAACAATAGAATAGGACAATTCATTCGGTCACAGATAAACGACCCATTGACATAATTCACCCGTAGACTAGTGACCTTAACCCAGAAATTAAGGAAACATTTTAAATGCACAGAATAGTCAGTTTCAATGTAGGTCACAAAGTTTCCGTAAATGAGCGATTACGAAATAAACTTACGCATTTGTACACCGAAGAAACAGTCGAAGCAGACTTGAGGACCACAGTCTTAATAAAAAGGGAGGGTGGTCCATAGAGACAATTTGAGGCAATTAACATAAAGCTTACTTTTGTTTTTCTTTTTCGTCAGGATTTGGACAATGTACTCAGTGATCGTAAAAGAGACTGAGGAAATGAGAATTCATTTTCCCAGTTCACACATGTGACAGCTATAGAACTCGGATATACGACATATAAAGACGCTTATAGAAATACTAAAGTACACCTTGACTACGCAGGTCAAATCAACGGATTCTACTATCTTCTGACAATAGATGCATACTCAAAGTATCCTGCAATTTATCAAACATAATCGGTCACAGCTACATCTACAATCAAACCAATGAACGAGTACGTTTCACAATTCGCAACCCCCACCTCGTGTCAGATAACGAACTCAGTTCTGTTCCAATATTTTTGAACAATGGAGCAAAGAGCTATTCAACGTACAGGCACAGTTGAAAGGCTGAAAGGTTTGTAGACACTTTCAAAAGATCCATCATAAAATTAAAGGGGTAGAACGATACCGAACCGAACGATTCTACGATTTTTGGAAATATATAGATCCATGGCTAGTACTAATTCACCGAATGGGTCATCACCATAGAACGCAAAATGAGAACCCTATTTGACCCTCTTAAAAAGCGTCGATATCAGCTCGAGAAAGAAAGAAGAAAATGGAAGACCAATATAACACCCAAGATGACACTAAGTCGAATTCATTTCAACGGGAAGGCTTAGTATACGCAAAAGATTTTCATCAACATATTATTGGTTGGAAGTCGGAAGAAAATATCACCTATCATCAGTTATCAACAAACAAGAATGGCCCAGAGAAGACCACCAGTTAAAGTAATATCAAGAAATCCGCTTAAAAACTTAAGATTAGAGTTATAAGGGTAAATCTACAACACCACGACTTTGTTACATGCCTAAGTAGTTGTTATGTTTTCTTTTCTGTACACAGTCAGGGAGCCTCATTGCAACCGTTTGTAGATGGTTGTAATGAATCTGAAGACTGTGATGAATATGTATGTGATATATCAAGAGCTAATATATTGTCTGATGACGGAGGAACATTTGCTAATATTTTCAGAAGTTGATCTGCTTTGACGAAAAAGAAAAACAAAAATAAGCTTTATGTTAATTTGAAGGCCATAATTCGTGCCAAAGGTGACATTTTTGCTTTCATTCCATACAATTAAACAAAATGTAAAAAGTAAGGTGTTTGACTTTGTTGCTGTTCTTTATCTCACACTGTAGCAATATTCGACTGTACGTTTTCTTCTAAGACGTGAATGTACTCAAAATTCCGGAGAGTAAAACTGTTTTATAAGAAGTAAATTCAATGAAAATTAGGTTCCATTCATTATTAGTACAATAGATTACTTACCCATTGCTAGATAGCGTTTTAACACCAAATACAATTCAAATAGTGTTGTTCCCATGTTAACATTATCTATGTTTGGGAGCTCTTCGAAATTATCATCGGGTACATCAATTCGCTTAATATGACTACATACATCACAGACAATTGTAAAAGCGATTTCGGCAATTTTATTATCGTAGAATTTATATAGGATTGTGGAAAAACTAATTTTCATTTTTCTGGAAAATTTATCAGTATGAAGATTAAAATATATGTGCAAGCAACATTTATTACTTACTGGTAAAAATGCTTATCGAAATATTCCATTGCCCTTTGAAGGTCCGACCGAATCATTTGTATCACTTTAATTAAATATTGCAGATTTGCATCATCGGACATGTGGTCCCACTTTTTTCGATTGGCTTCTGTAATGTGCTCGAGCCATTCCATAGTACCAGAATGCAAGGCATCAATAACAACGCTGTCAATTGTGCACTCATCGTTTGGTCGAGATATCCAACCGTAAACATTTGGAGAAAATAATTCAATATTTTGGGGCTGATCTAGCATCTTTATCTTAGACATAATATCTAGTACCTCACACAACGTCTTAAGTATTTGCTTGTCGCTCCAATTTTTTGCTCGTATTTTTCTTAGAACGGTGAAACAGGATGGAAGAATTCGTTTTACTCCATCCCAGAATATTTTGACATCATCGCTTTCATTTAATTGACACTTTAACACGGGCACCAAATTGTCTAATATAGAGTTAAATAACGTAAAACTCAGGGGATGTTCCTCGTGAATAGTTGCATAGACAGACCATTGGCTAAGGGCACATTCGAAGTTAGATAATCCTGATTGAACGGCGTGTTGTAATCTTATAGTTTCAGCATTAGAACTAAACTTTCCGCACCACCAGTAGTTTGCAACTTGCGATGATTCCAGTTCATGCATGAGTAATAGTTTAAGTAAATGTCTGTGTTCCTGCACAGCAACGTGTTTATTTTTTTCAGCACTCAATGCTAAACTAACTAAAATAGAACCTCTACTTTTGGTTTTGTTTCCCTTTTCCAAATTATACCAAACAGTTGTACCAGATGCAGGAATGGACTTAAAATAAAATGTTCAGGAAACTACATGTTGAGTATCAAATAAAATTCTCATACCTTCAGTGTAATTGCAGTTCTTCCAATCAATTCATTGTCATGTTTTCCAGTAGATGCAGTCACTGCGATTTCTTTCATTAACTTACGTAGTCCCTTAATGCCCTTCACGTCCATTAGCTTATTCACCTTCTCCTTTACAGTTTCAGCGGCATCAAAGTCCCTTTAATAAAAAGTTGAAAGAATTATTTGTGCCTATGACAAATATTCAATAACTTATATGGAATCCCAAAAGCTATAACATATTAATGGCATACTCATTGATATAATTAATCGTTATGTTTAAAATGTATATTTTATATTTCCACGCTTTATATAACAGAAAGTAATTACTGAGATTTAAGTTTAAAACATTCCACATTTTTACTACTTACCAAATCTCAATTATGAGTACTTCGTTTCTTGGGTTATCGGTGATTGGTCTAAAAAATAAAAAAGGGTTTAAAATGTCGCTAAAAATTGCAAAGGTTTTAAAAAGTAATTTTCATATGCTTCTTTTAATATATGTCCTCAATTTTACTTCAACATTGCTCGGCAAACATTGGTCTTTCGAGCCGAATCTTACAATCCGTCTTCTTCCTTCACGAAGAAAAGCGAAAAAGGACTGTGTCACAGAAACTTTCAGATTTAACGATCCTCCTATTTGTCTCTTCGAGGATAAAACGGCATCATCGTCAATAACAACGGTATCATCGATAGCTACCATCACATCGTTAACAGGCTGTTCCACGGTATCGAAAGAACACGTCCGTTCCACTAAAAACCATCAGAACGAAACATTTTTCATGTGCGTGAAGATAACAACGAATTTAACTAGCGAAGACTCAATCCGCTCAAGTACTGTATAAAAGTTATAATTCTCAGTATAACAGATATGTGTGAAGTTAAAAACGAATTTAAATACTGGATAACTATATACTGATAAATTTAAACAAATTTTAATATATTAAAGAAATATCTCTGCAACGTTAAAATTTCCGAAATAAAATGTTCCAACTTTCGACGTTTCTGAAAGTACTCCTCGCCAGATTTCGAATGATATCTTCCATATGGACCTATCCCTCCTAGATTTTGCACAATGGAATTCCAGCTAACTCATAAAATTTATATTTAAATCTACTTAAAAATAGTTATATGGGTTCCATGGAGTAGACAGTATAGGCTGTTCAAGAACATTAACTTTGCAGAGATATTTCTTTAATATATTAAAATTTGTTTAAATTTATCAGTATATAGTTTTCCAGTATTTAAATTCGTTTTTAACTTCACACATATCTGTTATACTGAGAATTATAACTGTTATACAGTACTTGAGCGGTTTGAATCTTCGCTAGTTAAATTCGTTGTTATCTTCACGCACATAAATTTTTCGAAGATCAAAGCGAACGAAAAAGTAAGAATTTCAGTGCAATGTTGCGTTCTCAAATCAAGTCAATTCAATAAAGTCAATCAAATTGAAAAAAAAAAAAAAAAAAATCATTCGTACATGATAAAATATTGGATTTTCTGGTTCATATCTCATACTATTGTGAAATGATATTATTCATATAGTTCCACTTACTCAATAAATACATAAAACCTATGAATAACAGTTTATCCGTTGTCGCTTTATACTACACAAAAAAGGCTACATATAATATTTGGATTCAAAAAGAAAAAAACTACAAATGTACATTCGATAATAGTAAGTCAAAATGAAAAAAATCATGCAATATTAAACATTACGATTGTACATTTCAAAAGTCAAAATAAAAATTTTTCGAAAATCAAAGCGAATGAAAACGTTAGCATTTCAGTGCAATGTTGCGTTCTCAAATCGAGTCAATTCAATAAAGTCAATCAAATTGAAAAAAAAAAAAAAAAAACATTCGTACATGATAAAATATTGGATTTTTTGGTTCATATCTCATACTGTTCTGAAATGATATTATTCATATAGATCCACTTACTTAATAAATACATAAAATCTATGAATAACAGTTTATCCGTTGTCGCTTTATACTACACAAAAAAAGGCTACATATAATATTTGGATTCAAAAAGAAAAAGAAACTACAAATGTACATTTGGTAATAGTAAGTCAAAAATCATGCAATATTAAACATTACAATTGTACATTTCAAGAGTCAAAATAAAAATGTTCAAATTTCACATTTTTACGCAATTTTTTGGATTTTATCCTTTTCTGCCAAGAGCCAATTCCGAGTACGTCTGAATTTTTAAAATCAGACCAGCGGATCTTGAGTTATAAGCATAGTAACTAACACAACATTCTGATATATATAGACTAGCTGAACCCGGTGCGCTTCGCTACGTTAAATTCAAAAAATTAAAAAAAAAATTGTTGTAATACTTCAATGTGTAAATAAACAAATAGCTCGGTCTACGACTCGTGAACATGACAGGAACCATGAGAAAAGCAGGAACTTGCCAAATTTTGTTCGCATATACAAAGGGTTTGTCCTTCGGATGTTATAATTTCATAGCAAATGCCAAGCGTGCAGGAAACTGAAATCTTTAGAAGGTGAGTCGCATTTCTGTTGCAATTAGAGAATTCGAGATAGAAATATACTTCTCCGTAATAATCGTATCCTCAATTAATCTGATGTCTAGTTTTTTACTGTTAGCCTAATACCATTGCAAAGGCGTTGTTGGTCAATGCTTCTTAATAAAACCATATCCCAATCTAAACCGATTTCAATGTAATTTAACAAAATTTACTTTTACACCAAATTCCGTCACACCATCCATATTTCATTGAAATTGGTACGTGAAATCGGGCGAAAATCTATATCCAAATCTTAATCGATTTCCAATTAATTTTTCAAATTTATTATTGTAACCAAATTCCGCCACACATTCTGAATTTCATTGGAATCGGTTATATAAGTTATCGTGAGAAAACCAGCTTATGTCGTTGTTCCCACAGTTTTGGCTTTTGTGAAGTAACTGAACGCGTGGGCTACTCAGCACATTTAACATTCCCACAGGTTCTTGACATTTGAGTAGTCAAATGTGATGCTGCAATGTCAGCAAAGCGGTGGCAGAGCTACGGCAGTGGAGCTTAGATTAAGAAAAGTAAAATATAATTAAGTTAGTGGATAACAACTTATAGAAGTATCAACACGTATATCAAAATTGCAATATATGTAATAAGGAATAATAATAAAATTGTACAATTAGCCCCCAGCAGGAAAAAAACAAGTCGAAGTGAACGATAACGAAAAGAAGGCAGCGTTAGAAATACACTGTAAGTCTGAAAACACTGGAAGTGTGGAAAACACTAGTAATCTGAAAATCACTGGTAGTAGCACTACTTGGACCACCTGGAAATTCATTATAAGTTAACTAATTCATTACAAAAAATGTTAAGGTGAGTGAAGTGCTGGTGGAAAAAAATTAAAAGTAAAACAAAAGAAAATAGTGATTGAAAGTAAATGAGTAAATGAGCAAATTTTAGCACCTGAACATGATCGAGCACACCGAGCAACTCAGGAAAATGTCAAGCATATTCTGGAGGCAGCTTAGGCCAAAAAGGCAGCTTATTTCCCAGACACCCATACCAACATATTGCGGGGAAGTCCTTCACATTGACATATTTTCCACCGGTTCAAAGTACTTTCTGACTTGCATCGACAAATTTTCAAAATTTGCGATAGTACCGTCATTAAAATTCAGGACTATAGTGGATGTTAAAACACAGCTACTACAGATGCTCAATATGTTCCATGGTACAAAAACCATTTATTGTGACAACGAAAAGTCACTTAACTCCCACACCAATACTCTACGTTGAAAAATCACTTCGACATAGATATCGTAAATGCCCACCCCCAATACAGCACATCAATTGGGCAGGTAGAGCGCTTCCACAACACACTGACGGAAATAGCGCGATGCCTTAACATTGAATAGAATCTGGACGATATCGAAGATATAGTACTTTTAGCCACCATCGAGTATAATAAATCAATACATACGGTGACTGGAATGAAACCCTAGAATATTCCATTCAACAAAGAATGATGAACAAATAGTGTCACGGTTAAAATCCGCCCAGGATAAAGAGTTAATAACTCACAATAAGATCCGACGTGACAGGGAATTTTCCGTAAGGGAAAAATTTCTCGTCTAGAATTATAGGAGATTAGGGAACAAACCAACTAGGGACAAAAGTTCTGATAAGAGGGAGGAGGGTCCATAAGGACAGTCTTCTGTGAAGTTCCTTTCACTGTAATGTAAAAAAGAAGATATCTTATATTGGTCGTGAGTTAAAGGTAGCGAGTAATTGAAATATTGTATTATTTTAGAATTGTCTTAGGATTGGTCATAGCCATATTAGTGTCGGCATCAAATGGACGGTTAATGGACTACTCTAATGCGAGATACATTCTGGACACCGGCGAGATCTTATAATTTGGGGAAACTTTGGACACATAAAACATGTTACTAACCTAACCTAATACAAATTACTAAGCGATGATACAGCTAATGCTACTAACCACTTTCCCCAAACTCATATGAGAAAGTTGCTGGATGCGGACGTAAATCAAATAAGTAGACTGATACAGACGGTAAATATTCACCATAGGCAAGCGAGAGGCCTGAATGCGTTAGGAACAGGCCTGAAATACATCACTGGGAACCTGATCATTATGACTTCGACAAACTGACCAACACAGTTGGCCAACTAATCAACTCACAGGAGAGACAGTTTACTATCAACACCGAAGTGCAGAATGAAATTAATAGCCTCACCACTGCAGTAATTAAAGGTAGAAAAAAAAGGGAAGTTGATGCAGGAAATCTTTATGATATCCTCCTAGCGAGAAATAGGGCGATAATAACCGAATTAAATAATTTAGTAATTTCCATTACATTCGCAAAAATTGGAGTTTTGAACCCTATCCTTTTAGTTATCAATGAAATAAATTTCACAATAAAAAAAACCAGCACTGCACAAACCGTAGCCGATATTATGGCTGTATCTGAAATTTAGATTTTGCAATACAATAATGTAATATATTTCCTGATAAGATATCCTATCCCTAAATGTAAGGAAATTATTATATTACCAGTAGCAAAAGGTCACCTCATGCTCCACTTGCAAGAATCCATCCTAGCTGTATGTCACAATTACACCTCAGCAACAACAACAACATTTTGTCTGTCATCATGCGCTCTGGAACTAATGACACGTAACGCCGCTAACTGCAGCACAACATTCAAAACCTCCACCAATTACAGCGATACGCAATGGCTTGGTGGTCATCAATTACAAACTGGCGGTTGTAGAAGAAAACAACGGACCCCCTGTTACGGTCAATGTTACTTACCATTTGTCTTCAATGATATCGTTAGAATCAATAATACGATGTACTACAACGAAAATTCAACGACACCCCTACAACCAGATATTCCA